CAGCAACTTTGCTATAATGTTCTCTCTAAAGCATCAATTGATCAATGTCTGGTAACTGGTGATAACCAAGGAAGATCTACATCCTGATAGTTATATTTTCTTGATCTCACCTATCTTCAACCAGGAAGGCCTGTTTCAAAGGCCTGGTCCAAATTTGCAAGTGAGTGGTCACTAAGCTCTGACTCTCAGGTCTGATCAGTAAAAGAGTCCCAGAGGATAATTTTACCTCCCAGAAGCCTTGGTTTGAAAAAGAGAGAGAGAGAGGTGTTTATGGGTTGCGATGAGGTATGTAAAACAAAGCCCATCTTCATATGCAGGTTTCTGAGTGCTTGCAATTTATTATTAATTAGGAACAGCTCAAAATTAGGAACACCAAAAATGCAGAGCTAGAGTAAATGCCTATATTGTGTTATATCTCAAATTGCCTGTTTTGTTGGTCCCTGTTCTCACAACATACACGACAAACCAGCTCAGCTAGATACCCCATTTGCCTCCACATACTCTGTGTCTTAATGTTATAAGAGGTGAAAAGGCCCCACACATACGGATGCCAACGAAAGGCCTTGCTGGTATTTTTGTTTGTTTTTTTTAAAAAAATGACTGCACTTTCCATTTGATAGGATTAATGTGACCATAAAACTTCCACCTCTATCGCAACAGGCAGATAGGCTTGGTTTGGCTTGGCTTGACCAGCATATGACATGAAATTAATATAGTGTTGTGTACTTCACAGATCACAGATGGTGTCCCTGGGACTTGGGCTTGTGATATCTTCCTATATATACCGTAGCTTTTTCTACCACTGTTTTGCTGTCTAAAAAAAATCAAACCTCCCTTCCCTTTGAATCCATTTTGATGATGTCTCCTGTAGGAGTCATCTTTCTTCTAGGAAGAAAATTATGCCTAAAACACCACTCGTACAATTTTAAGAACTACTTTTTAAACTCACCTTGTAAGTTATATTCCATTTCAGGCCTGCAATATTATTTTTGTTTTTAATATATATATCTATATATCTATATATATATATCTATATATCTATATATCTATATCTATATATATATATATGAATATTTACAGCTGAAACCGCTATGAATTGTCTTAGGCTGGAGGAAAGATGATGGAAATTGCTTACAAGCCCAAGTACTCAAAACCCAAGAGACCTGATTAGAGATTTAGGATTTTACATTACTAAATGTAATTAGTAGAGAGAAATCACTGGAACAAACAAGCATGAATGGCTGCAGGCAGAAGAAGCTTCAAGGCATGTGCTGCACTCGTCAACAGGGAAAGCATAACATCATTTGATATTTAAAGCTGCCTTGTGGGAATCATTCTACAAAGGTAAAAAAAATACAAACACAACCATCAGCAACCACTATATTTTCATCCTTGATATGTGAAAGAGCAGGTACCTTCAAGAGACATGCAGACCACTTGGAAAGGATCTGCTATCTTATTGCTCTATGGAGACAACACAATGAACCAGCCACTGGGCAGTATTTGAAGGACAGGCAGAGAACAAAGGTCCTATTCTTGTCCTTATGCCCCAACATTTGCGTTTGTTCATTTTCATGTAGCATTAAACCTGATACTTGCCTGTCTTGGATATATAGCTTTCCACTGTGTCTCTGTCCAAGAAATTAAATAAAATAAAGCTTCCATATGGTTGCCTGTTTAAATGTTTTTTTATTGACTGCTTTTAACATTTGAGACAGGCCAAAATTCAGCATGTCACATTTCCCCCTGCATGTACACGCAGTGATGGGCAACAGCTTAATCTGCTGTTTTCCTTGTGCAACTGGAAGACCTGTTGAGCCCAGATGGGGAAGAAACCTTGGGATCCCTAAGCCACTGCAGTCACGTAGTAAACGGAAATGTACGAAGCCATGAGTAGAATAAATATTTTGAAAGCAGCAAATTTAAAACAGATCAGGAATTCAATGAATGAACATTGTACACCAAAATGAACACACTATTTAAATGCGTTTCATTAGCTGAAGCCGTTTCCTTGGTAACAAAAAACAGAAACCAAGGGAAAAGCTTGCATCCATCAGATAATGAAAATGTTGAAAATGAACCTGCTATTGTAAAAAATAAATTGACAAAGCCTTCTACTGTATTGTGGTAGTAAGAGGGGGCGGGGAACCAAGACCAGCAGCCACCTCCTCCGTTCCTGATCTAGTATTTCTTACGATTCCTTCAAGATTAATCTTCTTGTGATCTCCAGGCAACTCTTGACTGGCAAGAGCATGACTTTCAAGTGGGGTTTAGCTGCATCTAATTTTACTTTAAAGTGTTGGTGGGCCAATGTAGAGTACATTGGGAGTGGTTTTGCACCCAGTTGACTGAGTTGCATATTGTACTATATGCAGAACCTTTTGTTAAATTTCTGAACGCTGTATTTTGTTTTCTGGGGAAATGTTATTTGGAGTTCAATGCTGGGCATTCCCATTTTGGACAGATAATAAATGCCCCCCAAATTCAGGGGACCTCCCTGAATACCGACTGTGCTAGGCTGAGCTATGTTGCACAGCTGCCCTACACAAGGGCCGCCCACGTACCAGCTGCCTCCTTTTAAAATAAAACAGCTGTCTTGTGGCTAGCTTTCTGTAAAAGCCAATAAAGAGCACCACTGAAGAGGCCATATGCAATGTTTTATTTCGTCAGACTCCCACTTTTTCATTCATTAATGGTTTGGGGTTGTTTGGCTTTTTTTGCTTGTTCCATATTGCTATGGGTGGATGGAAAAATTTATTAGAAGATGAAAAATCCTTGTTATGAAAAACTTGGGATTGAAGATGGTATTCGGGGAATGTGTGGAAACAGCTATGCTCAGAAACCATGAAAAACAAAGAAAATTCGGGGGAAAGTAAGAGGTACGGCACCAAGGAGCATAAGGAAGTATGATTTAGGGTTGTATCCGGCTAAGTTCTGCTCAGAGTAGACACACTGAAATTAATGGACCTATGATAGTCAAGTCCATTAATTTCATTGGACTGCTCTGAATATGAGTAGCATTGGATACAACACTTTCAACTCAGAAATAAACTAGACTCCATGGCGCAATGTCCAGACTGGATAGCATACTGATCAGACAAGGCTTAGCCCCCTTGTTTGAGTCAATGAGCATAAGGTAAAGGGTAAAGGGACCCCTGACCATTAGGTCCAGTCGTGACCGACTCTGGGGTTGCGGCGCTCATCTTGCTTTATTGGCCGAGGGAGCCAGCGTACAGCTTCCGGGTCATGTGGCCAGCATGACTAAGCCGCTTCTGGCGAACCAGAGCAGCGCACGGAAACGCCGTTTACCTTCCCACCAGAGCGGTACCTATTTATCTACTTGCACTTTGACGTGCTTTTGAACTGCTAGGTTGGCAGGAGCAGGGACCGAGCAACGGGAGCTCACCCCGTTGCGGGGATACGAACCGCTGACCTTCTGATCGGCAAGTTCTAGGCTCTGTGGCTTAACCCACAGCGCCACCCCCAGGTAACATCAAAATCACAGACCACACCCCAGTAGAAGCTACCCTTAAAATATGAGACGAAACACGAACCACCTCAACATGGTCTTTCAGTCCCATCCTAAGCACAAACAAATTAATCGGAAAGTCTCAAGAAAACTTTCCAGAACTACTTCAAGGAAAATGACGCAGACAATATTACAACTTCGCTCCTTTGGGACACAATGAAAGCAGTCACCAGAGGAGCCTGCATAAAAGAGAAAGCATCCCTTAAAAAACAAACCTCCTCAAAAATTAGCAAAATAGAACAAGACATCACAGCCCTCTCATCATGCTACAAACAGGAGCTAAAAGACTCCTTAAACTTATAGGACAAAAAAGAAGGGAAATAAACTCACTAGAAATCAACAAAACAATGATCAACATCCTATATTCAAAAAAACGCTTCTATGAGTAAGGAGGGAAAAACTCCAGACTATTAGCAAACAGGTGTAGGAAAAAACCACTCAAAACAAGAATACATTGCATCACCAAAAATGATGGCAGCAAAACATTCTTCTCCAAAGAAATAACCTCAGAATTTGCACACACACAAAATACGCCAATCTATACATCTCCCACAAGTCATCTGAGAAGGAATCAGAAAATTTCTAGCAGGACTGACATGCTAACCTTAACAGCTGAAGAGCAAGAATTAATGGACAGTCCTATCACCCCGGAGGAAATAGATACGGTCCTCAAAAACCTGAAACCCCACAAAGCCTCAGACATACACTAAGTAAAAGAACATAAGCTCTACCACCCCACCCCCTCTTTTCTTCCCAACCCTACACTACATATAACACCAATGTCTCACAACAAATGTAACTGATGTGTAGAAAACACAAAGAGACAATGCATGTGCTTTTGTAAACGAGGAAAATCTTTAATCATTTATTTTTAAAAAAGAAAAGAAATAAACTGGACTATATTCAACTTACTTGTAGGGAAAAGTGTGTATACAATTGCAACACAACTTTTCTTTTTAATACTTTAAGTTCATCTTTTTAAAAATAGATGGGATTTTAAACTGCATGTACTCCATAGAACCCTTAGTAATGTGGAGTGTGCAAATACCTGCCTACACATATATGAGTGCCCTTCCACCCAGACCTGCAAGACATTAGCCCCATTCATATATATGGGATTGGTGACATGGCAGCCAAAAATGCAATCACATAGAGGCTGCTCCTTGCAGCAAGTTGTTTGGCTGAAGTGATTCCCCCATGCATTGGCAATGATTTTTAACCATCCTATGAGTATGCACCTCATGAGAAGAGAAGACTCCCTGGAAAAGACCCTGATGTTGGGAAAGATTGAGGGCACAAAGAGAAGGGGATGACAGAGGACGAGATGGTTGGACAGTGTTCTCAAAGCTACCAGCATGAGTTTGACCAAACTGCGGGAGGCAGTGGAAGACAGAAGTGCCTGGCGTGCTCTGGTCCATGGGGTCACGAAGAGTCAGACACGACTAAAGAACAAACAACAAATGAGTATGCATTCTCAACGTTAAAAAGAAGAGACCCTCCCTGGAATACACTTCATACAAATGGCATCTGGACTCCACAGTCATTATGTAGTTGTGGTGGTTGTCCCCACCCCCCACCCCCCATAGCTATTACTGCAAAATTACCACTCAGAGTGGATGGCAACCCAGTCAGATGGGCGGGGTACAAATAATAAAATTATTATTATTATTAGTTTGAATGAAATGGGCTTTGCTATGACCTTGATTTTGATACTGTGTTTAAGTAATTTGTATACCACTTTATGAACACAGAAAGTCTTTTAACACACAACCGTGAAACAAGTTGTAAGGAAAACTGAAATATAAGAATAAAACAGCTAGTCAGCAGAACAAAGACCCTCAAATCAACAGCAAGAAAGAAGTCTTAACTTGCCTCCCGAAAGATAACAGGGAAGAAGTCAATACGGCTCGCCCACAGTAGATCAATTCCTAAACTACGAGGTTACAAACAGGGAAGGCCAGTTTAGTGTGTGGAGGCCAATATGACCTTCACAAAAAAAAAAAACAGAATGTGAAGCAAGTCATTTTTTAATGCTGATGGGGGCCAGCGGGAGATTGCTGTATTTTTCATACTAGAAGAGAGGCAATCAGGACCTGAGCTCTCCAGGGAAACAGATTGGTAGCCAATGCAGGAGTCTCAAAAGAGCTATTACAGGATGGTGCCTACTTGTACATGTCAACAGCCAAGCGGAAACGTTTCACACTAGCAGAAGCTCCTGAACCATATTCAAATGCAGCTCTACATAGATTGCAATACGGTACTCCCATCTGAAAGTCACCACACACCTGTCTCTATGTCAAAAGTGGTGAATTCCTGTTACGAACCCCACGTTCAGATAGCAGTGGTAAAGTGTCTTGTTTGTGGGGGGACAAGAGCTCATCTGCTGTGGAAGAAATAGACTGAAACTTCCTGCCCACCAGCAGCTTACAGAGTTTTATTAATTCTCTTTGCTGGAAAAAGATTAGTTTGGATAATTTTATTCTGCTCACTGAACCTGTTTTATTCCACACTCAAACAAGCTAATTAAAACCCCACTGTGTTTCTAATCCTATTTTCAGAAAGTCAGGGAAACAATGAAATACCTCCATCGTTTTCCTAAGCTTGTCCATCCTGTTGCACTGATGATCTTTGTTGCTGGTGTTATTTTGCAGCTGGTTTTGTCGTTGCTTAGATTTAACATACATTTCAATATAAGTTCTATGGTTTTAATTTTTACTGACGAACCGCTCAAGGAACTTTAGTTATTGGGTGGTAACTAAATATTGAAAATAAAACTAAACTTATCAACGTGATTTGAGGCAGATTCTTCAGTGACAAGACTTTCTTTTTTTTTGTAAACTGAGTTCTTAATTAATTTTCAGGCCGTTAGGCAACATCTAACACTATACAAGCAGATTTCTGCTCATGCAAAACGACGTCCTTTCCTCTTTTTCTCCCTGCAGTCTCCCACCAAATCTGCTCAGAGAGTCCCATAGTGGGTGGGACTGCAAGGTGGCATGCGAATCCATTTCGTCAACACTGACAGCTGGTATTCATGCAGGATCCTTATATTGTGGACATGCATTTATGTCTACATTTTTATTTCGTGGGGGGAAAACCAATGTGGGAAGCGGCTCTGGCTTCCAATGATCCACATTACACTATAGTCTATTCAGAGTAACAATTAACCTCCTCCGTCCTTAGCTAAAAAGGAATTTTCCAGTGCGCTAATAAATTTTTGTCTCATTTGTGCTTTGAATTGCCGATACCATTCCATAAGCTGTTTCCTCCTCTGAATCTTTTGTTGCAAAGTCATATTTTGCTCTTTTTCTAAAATGGCAGGAAGTTCTTTCCAGTTTTTAATAAAGATAAAGGGGGCTCCCGTGGTCTTTAGTAATTGCAGTGGGGCACTGTGGGACACAGATGAATTTCCGCAATTGCCTGGTGTCATTACATCTTCTACAACAGGAACGGAGCCAAATGAGCATGCCTCATAAACCCTGTAGCATTCTGTATTTACTCCCACTGGGCATAACGTGAGATCACTCTGTAGCAATGCGTCGTGGTAGTTTCGAAGGCTCTCATTTGTTTCCTGAGGCCACCACCTAGAAAAAAAAGACAAAAGGATACTGAAAGCGCATACTTCGTCAACAACAATTTTTGCGGAAAACAAAAGATTCACACCACATTTTTAGGGCGGCCTTTCGGTGTAGCAGCCACAGCCACAACAGTAATATCTAAGAACTGGGGAGTGGATAGTTTACATCACTGTTTCCCCAGTGCCTTCATCAATCATTACTGCCTTGTTTTAAAGAGCTTAATGGCTTGGATCCTAAGATAAGTTAACGTAAGGAAGTTCACAAAAGGAATGTTTCCTTCCTCTCCTCCATCTCAGCAGCCTCCTGACTCTCATCCCACATTGTTCAGGTCACTATTAGGGGGCAAAAGGGGCTTTTGGGGGACACACACAGATGGAACAGACCCAAGTCATTATGTTGATTTTCACTTATTTGTGAGGTTGATCAGAAAGAAAGAGCGCATATTTTAAACTAACAAACTGGAATAGTCAAGAGAATGAACAACAGTGCTTTGACCTTGAGTGCTGCACATCTCAAACTATTTCTAAAGAATTTCCATTCAAATTCTATGCATTCATACACACAGCTCAAAAATAGAAAGTGGTCAGGGATGATGGGAGTTGTAGTCCCAAAACATCTGGAGGGCTGAGTTTGCCTATGCCTGCCCTCAACGGCCTCAGCCCAGTATATCTGAAGCGGCGTTTCCACCCTCATTGTTCAGCCCGGACACTGAGGTCCAGCTCCGAGGGTCTTCTGGCGGTTCCCTCCCTGCAAGAAGTAAGGTTACAGGGAACCAGGCAGAGGGCCTTTTCAGTAGTGGTGCCCACCCTGTGGAATGCCCTCCCACCAGATGTCAAGGAAATAAACAACTATCTGACTTTTAGAAGACAGCTGAAAGCAGCCCTGTTTAGGGAAGTTTTTAATGTTTGAAGTTTTATTCTGCTTTTAGTGTTCTGTTGCCAGATGGGCGGATAATCTTCATCATCATCATCATCATCATCATCTTGGAATTCTACCTGCACATCACGATGCATATAGCAGTTTTATAAAGTGCTGGTATGGTATTTGAACCCTTATCATAAAGCCATCATCCAACAATTTTGGCATTTCAAAACACACAGACCCACACACAGACCCACACACACCCCATGCGAGCAATTATTGCAAATTGGTATCAAAATTATGATGCAGTCAACATAAAACATTGGTATTTTTAACTGTTAATATTTTTGCTGTTACAGACTATAGTTCTTACTCTTCTCTGGCTGAAATCCAACAAAGCTTATCGAGTCCATTTTGTTTCAGGACGTCCACTAGGATCTCTCTTGTTGAATTCTTATAAATGGTTCCTAAGAAATTACACTGGTACGGTCTTGGCGTGTGGAGCATTGACCAACTTGGTTCAACTACAGGAAAGTATCTGTAGCTGTAATGAAAATAAAACATGTCTGTACACATTAATACATAGGACATAATTTTTAGGCATATGCAAAATTAAAAATATTTTCCTGAATGTATTAAGGACTTACGTAGCAACTCCCAAAGGCCAGTGGAAAATATCTTCTTCGTTCACTAAGGGGCTGTCGTATATTACGAAGAGCAGGTCCACAAACCCTCCATATCTTTTTAAGTAAGGGGAAATCCATTCATTTCTGCACTGTTCACTTCCAAGCAACACAACAGCAACATGCTGCAGCTTGTGAGTTTGTACTAATGTTTGTGCATAATGCAGCCACTGAGTGGCGTAGGAGATCTTTCCTTCCTCTCGGCCATTCAGCACTAGAACCACATTGTCAGCTTCTACTGAGAAGTAGCCAGGGACTACAGCTGGACCCGTAATGAAGCTGTGAATGACAAAGCACAGGCACTGCAAGGTTTACAGGTATTACAAATAATGCAATATAACACACCAGATGGACATTTTAAATAACAGTTATCACTGATGCTCAAAGGACTTTGCTCTATCGTTTTTGTAATGGAATGAAGAGGAACTGTGCAATTTCTCCCAAGAAATTAAGACCACCATAAGGCTTTGTCCTGCACTGTCTGTTGCTGCCAACTCTTCATGGCCTGACCCCAAGGCTTGTTGTACCAGCAATACATATATATTCATACACACACACACACACACACACACACACACACACACACACAAAGATGTACCAACCAATGTGCAGGCAAGTATCACATTATTCATTGTTGAATAAACATTCTGTTTGAACAATTTCACTAACTAATGCACAAAATTACATTAAGTATGTTCACTGGGCTAAGAAATACTGCCATCACTAAACTTAAGAGAGGTATCATACAGTCGGTACCTGAAGAATGATTTCCCTGCTGTGACGCTTCCTTCTCTCCACTGGGCCGACACATCAGCAGGCTCAAGAAGACCTTCAAAGATATGCTGCCACAGGTAAAGGCCTATGAAGACATGATTTATAGTTTGAACAATATGGGACACATCTGAACTCCTAGATACCTTAACGAAAAATGAAGATAAAAAGAAGCAAAGCAGGCCAACTCCAATAAAGCAACACAACTTGGCAAGGTAAATAAAGGTCCGCAATAAGTAAGAGCAATGAAGGGTGCTTTAGGGAGGGGATCTAAGCAGACGAGAAAGCAGGAAACCTACAGGAGTGCTGATGCATGCAAGGTGCACTTATATCTGCAAGGTGATATAAGGCTTTGGGATATTTGGCATGGAGAGAAGCCCTGGCCCACTGGGAGGAAAACCTGATAGCAGAGCTGCCTTTGACAGATCCCACTCTCAGGCTAATATTCCACCCCATTCAGTATTGAAGAAAGACACCTGTCAGATGCTGGTGTGGTTGCTCAAGAGTAAACAGGCAAGACTCCCACCTGTCTTTTCCAGGTTTTATTCTTGGTGCAAACTATTTACAGTGAAGAGCGTCGCAAGTTCATGTCTGGCTCACTCGCTAGCAGAATCTGGGAGTGGGTGGTCCTTATACCTCCTCCAGCAAAACAGTCACGTGACCCCCAACCTTCTCCTCCCTTCCCTGCGCCTACTGTGCAGAATGGGCGCTGGCAAAGGGGTACTTTCCTCCCCTCCGGTTTGCTCAGGCTCGGTGTTGAGGCTCTGCCTAGCATCCTCTGGTCCTTGCACCTCTTCTCCACTGGAGGTGGGGCTTTCCTCCTCGCCAGAAGAGGAACTGCTTCACAAGATTTTCAGAGGCTCCCTATAACACAACTGCCCTTCCATCTCTCGCCTCTGAGCTGATGGCAGTTCCCTGACAACACCCTCAGAGACTCATATAGAGTGTCCATCCATTTACCACTGCAAAGGGCTTTACCCTATCAAGGTGCGAAATCAATGAGAGGAATACAGAAAAATAGGAAAGGTGTCAGGGACTGGCAGGGCTCCAAGGAATGGGTGGAAGAAGAAATGGGGCCAAAGGCTAATCCAGCAGAAGGGGGGAGAGATTTATGGAGGTTTGTGCCTTCCACAAGGCAGGAGCCAGAGCTGAAGGAGGAGTCTCAGCAAGGTAGCAGGAATGGACTTTTCCTTGGGGTTTACTCCTGAAGCCTTTCTCATGAATGAGTATAGCCGCAAGGCAGTGGAGTTTTAGGATCAGGGTTTTCCTTCTCCTATGGGCTACCTTCCTAGGTTGATGAGCCCCATCTGCCCCTCTACGTTCAGAAACTTTTAACATCTGTAGTCAAATTAATTTTTAAATCACTGGGCAGGCAATGTTATGCTCCATTTTACAAGATATGATCCTAATAATATCTACTAGGAAGCTAGTCCAATGGAAGTTAACAAGGCTTGCTATCAGCAAAGTGGGCTTGGAATCCTGCCTAACATTATAATCCTAAACTCAGTTATGAGGAAGTAAACCCACTGAATGCAATAGTTCAGTAATGAAATGTTAAGGATCGAACCAAAGGAGTGAAGCAATATTATTTAGAAACAGCAATCACATTGCTAATGACAAGCGCTTACCAATAGCAGCTTTCCCCCAAATTTGTACCCTCAGGTCTGTTTGTTCCTGTTGCACTTGCATCTTTTTTAACAGTTGAAGACTATTTGCAGACTTCCGCTGCAAATCGTTTTTCTCATCAACTTCCCAAGGATTCCATTCTTCAGTTCCCAAAACAGCATGTTCTAAGTATAAAAAATGTAGACCACGTGAACCATTACACCAGAACTTTGTTGAATGTGTTGTTACAGGCCCATGCTGTACATATACTAAAACTGTGACACCTGAAGTGCATAAGTACTTTTTATATAATAAAAAACACCACGGAAACATAGCTCAGCATATGCTTTCTATGCAAATAGTCTGTCATGACACCAAAATCCAGCAATGATCAGGACACCAAGCAGAAGGCTACAACATCACTGGTTAAGAAGCCAGATTATGTTCCTGATGGTGATCCTAATGCTGGTAATCAGGGGACCACTGAATCCAAGACTGGCGGGAAGGAGCCAATGAACCAAATGCCATAGCATCAGAGCCCATAGATTGGAGCCAGGATCCTTGGAGATACCTTCACTTGAATCAAGGGTCCCAATAGTACCGATCCAGTTCAACAGGTCATGGAATACAGTAGAAATGTCCATTCTCATGCCACAGGGTTGACCCTTTAAGAGACTATTTCTCCTAAAGGGGGCAGAGCCTGGGAAAGGGGGATTGGAGGCAGAGACTCAAAAGGCCTCAGTTCACTTCCAACCCTTGTTTAGAACAAGTGGCTTAGTAGGAGCTTTCCATGGTGCTGAAATTATTCTGGGGGCTCCTTTGTGAAACCAGAACAATACATGGTCCCAGCTACTAACCCTGCCTGCAAAAGATTTCTGTCTGAAACACTGGAGATCCTTTGCTGGTCAATGCATATAATGTTGGGCTAGATAGACCAATGGTCTAACTTGGCATACGGCAGCTACCAAGGAGTCAGTTATAACTCTTTGTGATGTGCTTCTTTCAGTGTTGCCTCTCATGACTCACAGACACACAACTGTCAGGACCATCTTCAGGACCCTCCCAACTATGGGGCACGGTATTGCCACCTCCTTTTGAAGGAATGGGTTTCTGTGCAGGGACCCAAAATCCACTTTTTTCCTTTTCCAAGGGAGCATTTCTAAAATGCTTTAACTTGAGCTCTTGAGCCAAAACCCAGCTGTATAAACAAGTGCTCAAAGCTCTCTCCCTTATCAGTCCATGAAGGCTGGTAATGACGGATGCATTGTCCATTCCAAAGTGGAACAGGGATGACATGTCTGGGCCTTATCTTACATCCTGACCACAAAGATCACATGACTCGTGCATGGTGCCCTTGTCTCCTCAGTTCCACAGGAGCAAAAAATGGCAGAATAAGGTAAGAGCCATTTAACAGGCTGGCGTGCAGGTACTTGTCAAGAAAACAGTTCACAAAGCTATCATGTTAGAACTCTGGGAGCTCTCCAGGGTCCTGCAGGTGCTCTGTGTGCCTTGAACTCTTGATGGGGCACAGGTGTGAACCTCAGGTGTGTACTGTCCCACTCCACTCCAACCCCCCATCCCCACCAGGCTTACCCATTCATTTTCCCTTTCCTCCATCCTAATTGTGGTGAGCAGTTCTTCCAGGAGGGAGTTTCACTTGGCTCAGCTGGTAAGGCTGCCTCTTGTTGGCTTTTCTACCTTCTTTATTAAAATGTGTTTACATTTTTGCTCCAGTCATTAAACTTCATAGAATCATTATGTAACAGCAGAATACACAAGAGCTCAGTAAAGTCACAGCAGCTAACCTATTAGTCTTAACCCCTCTTGAATTTTGGAAGAAGTGAGAGATTCTCTCAGGTAGCTGCTTACGTTATTATGGAGAATGTAATCAATCACCCATTGCATGCCTGCCTGCCTGGCTACCTTACGGGGCATGCAAACTGCCTTCCTTAAAAGACTGAGCCATGGAAAAGCAATAGGTAAAGGTAAAGGGACCCCTGACCATTAGGTCCAGTCATGGCCGACTCTGGGGTTGCAGCGCTCATCTCGCTTTATTGGCCGAGGGAGCCGGCGTACAGCTTCCGGGTCATGTGGCCAGCATGACTAAGCCGCTTCTGGCAAACCAGAGCAGCTCACGAAAACACCGTTTACCTTCCAGCCAGACCAGTACCTATTTATCTACTTGCACTTTGACGTGCTTTCGAACTGCTAGGTTGGCAGGAGCAGGGACCGAGCAACGGGAGCTCACCCCGTCGCGGGGATTCAAACCGCCAACCTTCTGATCAGCAAGTCCTAGGTTCTGTGGTTTAACCGACAGCACCACCCACATCCCTGGAAAAGCAATACCACCCAAGAAAATATGATGAGCACTTTTACTGGGGTAGTGGTAATGGCTATCCAACAGGCCAACACAATTTAAACGTGAAGCTCTTTCCTTCTTCCACCTTACACACACAAGATAATGGAAGAATGTAAAATGTAGCAAACTGCCCATTATTAGAGAAACCAAATCCCGAAGTGCACTATGGCAACATGCATGTGGGAGTTTCCTTCACCATGCACACATTGATCTTACAAAGCAGGAGAGAACAACTGTAAGCTTCAACCACGTTAGAAACACAACAGTTGAGGTGTTTGCTCAGTATCAGTAGGCCTTGTGGCTCCTGCTTGGCTGAAGCAGGAACTCAGAAACAGACATTCAGACTAGACAGCTGTTTCACTAAGCAGTGTTGTTCGTACCGATGCACACCAGAGGGCAGATGAGCTTGTGTAGGAACTGCGAGCCTATATTGGATGATTGAAGAAAGGATTGTTTCTTTGCACTTCTCCTTTCAACAGAGTACGCATCCAAAGGAAAGCAAAAAATTGCTAATAAATGACACCTGTGCTCAGGGCACATTTAGACTGATCCTACCTAAAGTGCTTTTAGGAGTTTGGAAGAATTTTCCTGCAAACCTTGGTTGTTTCACAAACTGTAGGGACCCTCTCCACAGTCTTGTCCTGTCCTTCATTTTGGTTGCCACACATAATAGGATTGTGATAGTAGCTTGGAGAAAACTGAAGTGACTGGCTAGGATTCAGAAAAAAAGGCCCAACTTTTATTACAAAGCTTGTAATTTCCAAACTCTGTCATGCTTCGATCACTTGGAAATTAAAAAAGGGTTTGGCAGACCACTTAATGAATTTTCTGCACTAGGTGCTAAAGTATTTTGGAATTCAAATTTCAACGAGATAAAATGAAAGATATTATTAAAAAAATACGGTTAAAATCAATATGACTATTTCAGTGTGATGGATATGTCTGTTGTGCTAAACAAATTTATTTCTTACTGTTTCCATTTCCATATGTAATAACTCTCCATTCCTCTTCAGTGCCTTATCTGTCTCTTTTCTCCATTTGGGTTCTTCCTTTGTTTTGATGCCAGCCCTGAATTTATTCCTGTGAGGAAGTCAGAGCCTCTCTGCCCCTCATCATTTCTGGCCCATCCCATCCATCTTCCAGGCAAACTTCTGGGTTCAAAGAAAGACAGAGCAGCAACTGTGCTTACGCACAAAGCATTCTTTACACATAGCTCCACTGCTCCACAGAGCTGCCACCAGAGAGTTGGAGCTCACAGATCACTGGAGGTCCGTGGAACCCCTGGTTTACTCAACCTGCAATTCAGTACCAACTGTTTCCAAGCAATACAAAGTAATACTAACAATAACACAAAATATGATAGACAATCTACACCACTTTCTTCCTATGCTACCACCTTAATGAAAATATAATGAATATAATGAATACTTATGCTGGAAGCTGCTGACTTTACTCCAAAAAGTAAAATTCTTGTTCTAAGGCCTAATACATAGTCTACACCAGGCACAGGCAAACCCATCATCCCTGACCACTGGTCCTGTTAGCTAGGGATGATGGGAATTGTAGTCCCAAAACATCTGGAGGGCCGAGTTTGACTATGCCTGGTCTACACCAGCCTTTGCTAACCTCCAGATGGCTACTAGCCAAGGCTACAGCTACTCGCCATGATGGCTCTGCTCTGCTCCACAAACAGAGGAGCTGGTTGAAACCGCAGGAGGAGAGAGTGCTCTTGTGCTCAGGTCTTGCCTGTGGGTTTCTTGCAGGCATCTGGTCGGCCACTGTGAGAACAGGATGCTGGGCTACATGGGCCACTGGCCTGATGCAGCATGCTCTATGTATGTTCTTAGATGTTGTTGGACTACAACTCACATCATCCCATCATTGGCCCTGCTAGCAAAGAGTTGATGGGAGTTGTGTTGTAAAACATCCGTACGGCATCTGGTTGGTCTATTATACTATGAAGTAATCACCTAATAAGGGACGCGGGTGGTGCTGTGGGTTAAACCACAGAGCCTAGGACTTGCCGATCAGAAGGTCGGCGGTTCGAATCCCTGCGACAGGGTGAGCTCCCGTTGCTCGGTCCCTGCCCCTGCCAACCTAGCAGTTCGAAAGCACGTCAAAGTGCAAGTAGATAAATATGTACTGCTCTGGCGGGAAAGTAAACGGCTTTTCCGTGCACTGCTCTGGTTCGCCAGAAGCAGCTTAATCATGCTGGCCACATGACCCGGAAGTTGTCTGCGGACAAACGCCGGCTCCCTCGGCCAATAAAGCGAGATGAGCGCCGCAACCCCAGAGTCAGCCACGACTGGACCTAATGGTCAGGGGTCCATTTACCTTTAATCACCTGATATTAACATCTGCTTCAACAGTTAAATACCAGTTTGTGACATCTGCTTGTGATAGATTTGCTTAATGAAAAACAATGGTGACAACTTTAACCTGACACTGTTCCAACCTCTGCATGAATCTTGTTTCCTATACTTTGTTACCATTTTCTAACACAATCAAGCCCAAAAGAATCTACAACAATATATACCTATCCCTTTCTCTTCTTAAAAGCACTTTGGAGTTCTTGGGAAGCGCCTGATGGTACAAGACTGTGGACTCTCAGAATCTGGCCAGCAGGGGTGCCAACTTGAATAAAATAATGGGGGTGGGAAACGGGTAAGCCCTGCCCCCACATAATGGATCACAATACGGGCATGCACACCATTAGAATGGCAATGCCCCTTCAAATATTTGGGGGGGGGCCTCCGGAAGTGCCCTCGTCCCCTAGAAGTCTGCCCCCAATTCTATACAGTCCCCTGGATACATCACTTGAAGCACCATATAGGAACAGAATAGGACTTGTATGTGCCTGTCCGGTCTTGCAAACATTGCATTTCTCCCCAATTCTGTAAATGCAAATCCTGCTGTAACGGGGAGTGCAGAGAGTCGGCCTCTCAAGCAGCCAAGACTGCAATCATATGCACACCTAAAACTAAATACTAATAATAATACAGTAATAAATGACTGTGGGGATGCTTGTCACACAGAGAGCAACAGGGCAGGTGGTGGGGAGGCAGAATTAGAGGAGGTGGCAGCGGCGTTGTTGGGAAGGAAGGAAGGAGTCCCCTTTACCTCGCCCCTGCTTCTCCCTCGGGGCGGCAGCTCGCGAGGCGGCCGAGCGGCGGGGCTTCAAGAAGACGCTGTAAGCCGCGTAGAGGGAGAAGAGCAAGTAGGCGGCCAGCAGCGCGGAGCACAGCCGCTTCCGAGTGAGCCGCATCTTTCACGGCCCCGCGGGCGCCGCCATCTTGCCCGGGAAGTGACGCGCGGAGGGAGGCTTTGCTGCCCTCGCCTGCCCGCCAAGAGACGGGCGGGGAGAGAGGCGGGCGCGCCCGGAGGATTCGGGACACGCGCGTCCCGGACGGACCCAGGGGGGCTCCGTGGGTCTCGCGCGCTTGGCTCGGGGCTGGTTCTCCCGGGGAGTCTCGACAGCAACGGGACCAGGGAGGGGAGCCTGCCTGTTTGCGCAGCCCTCCCGGAGAAGGCGAGGGTCTCATCCTCCGTGCGTGGTTTCAGTCTGCAGCGTCCTCAGATAGGGCTGGGGAAATCTCTTCCCAAAAAACCCAGAAGAACCTTTATTGCCACAGGCTGCATGCATACATCCAAAGCATGGGCGTAGCCGGGGGTTGGGGTTGGGCAGCCGCCGCCCCTAAATCAATCAAAATCAATACAAATCTGAGGTTCCCATCAAAAATCCTGCCTACACCCATGATTGAAAGCACACCCACCCAGAATCCTGGGAGCCTGCAGTTTAGCCATCACAGAACTACAATCCCCAGCACCCTTAAGAAACTATCGTTCCCAGGATTTTCTTTTCCCCCCTTATGTGCTTTAAATGTATGCACATGCAGCACATACCCTCCAACATTTCCCCAATGAAAATAGGGACATCTTATTCCAGGGTCAGCAATTTTTTTCAGCAGAGGGCCGTTCCACTGTCCCTCATACCTTGTGGGGGGCCGAACTATATTTTTTTTGGGGGGATGAAATGTGCCCCACAAATAACCCAGAGATGCATTTTAAATAAAAGCAGACATTCTACTCCCAGCCCTCCTCACGTAAAAACACCAGGCAGGCCCCACAAATAACCCAGAGATGCATTTTAAATGAAAGCACACATTCTACTCATGTAAAAACACGCTGATTCCCGGACCGTCCGCGGGTCGGATTGAGAAGTTGATTGGGCCGCATTCGGCCCCTGGGACTTAGGTTGCCTACCCATGACTTCCATGGCAGCAGCAGCAGCACCACCACCCTTCGGGGGGTGCATAGCTCCATACCCTCCAACATTTCTCCAATGAAAATAGGACATTCCGGGATCAAATCAGAAACCAGGACGGCTTCTGTAAATCTGGGATTATCCCTGGAAAATAGAGACACTTGGAGACCAGTGGCTCTCAAAACTTTCCCCATGAACTACTAGAAGATTCTCTAGGGTCACAGCAGCACTCTTAATAAACTTAGGGCACATCCACACTTTCCTCTGCTTTTTCCAGGCACGGTCTGTGATCAAAAGCTTTATGTCCGAGTGCCCCTCCACCCCCCTTTTTTTGCTAAGGAGCTTTCCCTGCGAAAACCTCTTTGCAGCTTAATCAGAGCAAATGTCAATTTGCAGAAAACCCGAATTGACGTTTGCTCTGAATCAGCTTTGTAGAGCAGGTTTTCAGGGGGAAAGCTTGAGGCAAAAAACCAACAACACTCAGACAGAGAATCATAGAATTGTAGAGTTAGAAGGGACCCCAAGGGTCATCTAGTCCAGCCCCCTGCAATGCAGGAATCTCAGCTAAAGCATCCCTTACTTTGAGGAGGTTGTACAAGTCAAAGCACATATCTCTCAGTCCTATCTCCCCCCACTCCTACAGTGCCTTCATCATAATCAAAGTGAGGACCCAATTGAAATTTCAGGACCTCAGCCAGCTTGCTGAGAAGAGTCCTTTTAATTTCAAAGATAAAAAATACTGGACTACCTCAGCACTGTACTCTATTATAAAAATCACAGGCACCAGGTGAGATACTTGTTAGCTTAAAGATCCGGCCCTAATCAAAATGTGACCGGCCTTCCAGAAGTTAATCAAATGCAGGTCTGAATATGTACAGATATTCTTGATTGCTTCACAGCTTTCTGGCAGGTGACCTAAATAAAGCCTGTGAATCACATTTTGAAAACCTTCGCTGTAACACTGCACTGGACTCGATGGGGCAACTTGATATAAAACAGCTCTTTTCATTTTGGACACCCTTGATTAATCATATCCATGCCGTCAGTTTTCCTCTTGACCATCTGAAGCTGAGGTACAACTACTTTTGCATCCACATTTCTCTTCCTTGTTGTCACTCTGCCTGCATGACTAGATCCTGGCCTGTAGGTTAGACTCAAATTTGACAGACTTCTCTCTGCAGAACAACAGTTTAAGGAAGGCAGACTTTGGGAAGTGCTCAAAACAAGAGATGGGAATGGAACTCCCTTCTTGGACAGCACTATTCTATCTGCTTTGTTTATTTATTCCATTTATATCCCACCTTTCCTCCAATGGGTGGAGCACATGGTTCTTACCCCTTTCTTTTATCCTTATAACAACCCTGTGAGGTAGGTCTGACTGAGAGACTGTAATTTGCCAAGGTCACCAAGAGAGCTTCATGGTTGAATGTGGATTTTGAATCCTGGTCTCTCAGATCCTACTCCAATTCTCAAACCAAACTGACTGTGTCCTCGTTGCAATGTTTTGTTACAATTATTTTCCCCAAACTAGTCTAGTGTAGGTATGCCTAGGCATAACCATTTAGGCTTGTCACCAACAATATAGGCCTGTTGAAGAGAAGGAAAGAGTGTGGTTTGCTCCCACCTTGATTTTTGGATTTGTGATTGTATGTGTTCCCCAGCATTGAGTGACAGGTGTGGTGTAGTGGTTCAGAGCGGTGGACTTGTAATGTGGTGAACCGGGTTTGCTTCCCCGCTCCTCCACATGCAGCTGCTGGGTGACCTTGGGCTAGTCGCACTTCTCTGAAGTCTCTCAGCCCCACTCACCTCATAGAGTGTTTGTTGTGGGGGAGGAAGGGAAAGGAGATTGTGAGCCGCTTTGAGACTCCTTAGGGTAGTGATAAAGCGGGATATCAAATCCAAACTCTTCTTCTTCTAAATGCCACCTGCAATCCAAGATGAGCCTCTATTCAAATGTTATTCAGCCTGATGTTTGACTACAATTCCCGTCATCCTTGAGTACTGTCCAGGCTACGCTGGCTAGGGATGATGGGAGTTTTGGTTCAAGATCATCTGGGGCAACAGGGTTGAAGCACAGATGACTGACAGCAGTTGCTTTATAATTATGGGACTTAATTTCTTTGGAATAAACTTTTGGGAGTAGTATAAAGTCAGTATCTAGAACAGAGTAGATAAGGGATTATTCTTAGTCTAGAACTTTGCAGTTGGTTTATGGTTGTTGCCTTGAATTTATTAAGCCCTTTAGTTGAAAATCTACTTTTGCAGATTCTTTTCTTCTCTTTTCCACTTTGCAGCAAAAACAATCATGGTAAGGCTTCCAAATTTATGCGTGCTGTCCTTTGCTGTTGGATAGCCTCTTTATCTGCTGTTTACTGTTTTAAGTTTCTTAGAGTCAAAGTAATTGGTCATTGTGCTGTGTTGATACATGGTTTCAATTATGCAGAGAAGAATTTATTCACTGATGGAATTTCAAGATATGATACCTTTGATAAAAGTTCTCTGGAAATCTTTTTAGACTAAAAGAACACCACATATTTAAAGTTTTCCAAAGTATCTGTGTATGTAATTCCACAAATCCCTTGCCGATTGTTGGAGGGTGAAAGATGTTTATTTAAGATGGAACAAAATATTTTTCCTTTTAAAATGAGCAGGTGGGAGGAATGGTGAAATAAATATTGTCACTTGGGAGTGGTTTAAAAATAAGTTAGAGAACAACAAGTAAGCACTAAATTATAACTCTGTTGATGGCTGTATTTCTTGAAATAAGGGACAGAAAAAAACATTTTAATTGGTGTTGTCATTGATTTTTGTGATTGAGAATAGCGAGCAATGATACCCCATTTATGAAGTAAGTGTGTTTTAAGTTTTTCAGAGGCAATGCTTTTGCAGCCATGCAGAAGAATCAATTATTCAGAGACACAAGATCTACCCACCCTGGAAGAATGGCAGATGAAGGTGATGGACTATATGGAACTGGCGGAAATGACCAGCAGAATCCGAGACCAGGGAGAAGAGTCGGTGGAAGAAGATTGGAAGAAATTTAAAGACTATTTACAGAAATACTGCAAAATTAATGAATGTTAGAATGATGTTGGATTGAAGTTAAGTGGTTTTCAGCAGTAATATTATAAAGATGTGTAAAAATGGATTGTTAACAGGGGATAATCTAAAATTATAATATATTAAGATTAAAGATTAGGATAAAAACAAAGAGGGAAAGGATTTGCTGAACCAACTAATTGAACGGGATACAAAAAAGGGAGGTGTGAGGAGGTCTGGGGAACAAGCAAATGAAAGATAAGACACGGAAAGATTGAATTGTTTTTAACTGCTTTTATTTTGTATTTTTTCTTTTTCTTTTTTCTTTTTGTAATATTTTGAAAACTTTAATAAAAATCTTTTTTTTTTTAAAAAAAGAAGAATCAATTATTCAGGTTTTATTAAAACTATACAGAAATGAAAGGCAAGGCTCCTTTATGCTACGTGAGCTTTAATACATAAGAAATATATAATGGAATCACAGTAAATAAAACCCCAAGAAATAGCAGCTTAGCAGAATACTGTTATTAAAAAGGTAGCCTGACAGATATTTGTCTGCAGATACCCAGCTGAACGAAATAAGGTGCAGCAGTCCTATTATGCCTGTTGAACAGCCCTAGGAAGTAGCGTGGCAGTAGCTGCTCCATTGGCATATTTGTGACTCGGCATTCCACCAAAAATATATTCAGAAAAAAAGGAACCCATATAGGAGTAGGACTAGGTTCTCTCTCTGTGTGTATTACTCTCTCTCTCTCTCTCTCTCTCTCTCTCTCTCTCTAGCACACATAGCATTCGTGCCCAATTTTTTTTGCTTTTTTGCATTTTCTGTTATAAACATTCGTTTATTTCACCATAATATTCTATTAGCTCTTTTGATACAACAGCAACTGATACAACATCTAATGGTGATAGTAATTATCTATTACAACCGTAAGACACATCTAGTTATTTCCTGTCATGAGCAGAGGTGTAGCAAAGCCAGGTGGTACCCAGTGCGAAAAACTTTTTGTCACCCCCCCACATTGCAATTTGGGGGGTGCCAGTGCTTGAGAAGTTGAGAAGTAGAGACATCACCTTGCCAACAAAGATCTGTATAGTTAAAGCCATGGTTTTCCCTGTAGTGATGTATGGAAGTGAGAGCTGGACCATAAAGAAGGCTGATCGCCGAAGAATTGATGCTTTTGAATTATGGTGCTGGAGAAGACTCTTGAGA